CCTTTACAGCAGAAAGTAACAGGAAGTAAAGATAAAAGGACACTCATCAACCACTATGTTTATTTACAACTACAACAACACAACAGCGTTGTTTACTGACTGCACAGAGGATTTATAATAGATAAATGTCAATATTCTTAATTTATGACATTAAAGACTCCTGAGCGCCTGAAAGGGGGCAGGGCTTGACACAGCGGTCTGCTCTCCTGTTTCTATAAATGAAGAAATGATGGACACTGAAGAAATGTTTGTCCAGCAGAGAGCACAGATGAGTTAATATCACTGATTATTGGTTCCAGTGTGGTTGTTACAGTTGATGAAAAGTTTAATAAAAGGTTGAAAGCTTTTATTTTGAAGGACCAGTTTCCTCTGCAGCCTTCCAGTAAAAAAACAGAACAAACATAAAAACAATGAAACGGATGTTTAAAGTGGTTTCATTCACACGTTCACTGTCTATTTCATTTAGTGAAATGAATCTGAACGATGGACAGGTTATTGATTACCAATTTACTGGATTAGTCTGTAAAATAATCCAATAAATATCAGCTCACTGACACCAGAACTAATGACTTTAGATGATTTTAAATTGTTGTCAGTGAATTTGAATTAAACTTATTGTTTTAAATTGTTTCACCCTAAAGTGTCCAAATTATATTTTACAAGTTCAATGCTAATAATGCTAATAATCCACCTTCAGGTTCGTGAACAGTTACGGACTTATTCACTTCCTGTTAAATACAATAATGGAACAGAGGCTAACTTTCCCTCTGCTTTCAGTCTTTGTGCTAAGCTAGGCTAACAGTCACAGCCAGACGGGAACCAGCCTACCTCCAGCGAGTCTCCACCCGCCTGCTGCTGCTCAGTGCTGTAAATCCAGCGTCTCTGATCAGCTGACTGACGAGCTCAGGTCCAATCAGGTGAGAGGAGCACTGGGATTGGTCAGACATTAATGACGACATCGTCCTCTTCGTCTCTGACCTCCTCCCTCCTCCCTGCGCCTCCCCCCTCCACATCCTCCTCCCCCTCCACTTCCTCCTCCTCTGGGCCTCCACAGGGGCCGATGATGTACCTGTAGTCTCCTCCGATGGCGAGTGCGGCCCCGGACCCCACCATCAGCCAGTCCTTCTCCTCGTCATCCGCCCTCCGCTGCCAGGGGACGCTCCAGCTCGGACTCCCGGCTGCTGCTGCTTCCTCCGCCACCCCCGGGGCCCCGACCGCTCCTCCTCGTCCTCCCCCTCGACTCAGTTCCCCCTCGTCCCCCTCCAGGTTGACATACAGCAGAGGCTCCTTCTGCGGGGAGGCGGGGGACAAGCTGAGCCACTGCGCCTCCAGCTGGACTACCAGACGCTGGAAACTGGGACGACATTTAGGAACGGGACTCCAGCAGCTGTGCATGATCTCATAACTGCAGGAACACCACAGAAGAAGGACACACTAATCTGTATGGAGGCTACGCAACGAATAAATAACAACAGAATAACACTGAAAACATTCAGGAAATAAAGAAATAGAAAACATACATAAAGACTCATTTAACCTGTTTTTACCTAGTCTATTTTATATATTAACATATATATTATGGACTGATTATAGTCATTATAATAATATATTGATACTGACTATAATCATTATATATTATATACTGATTATAGTATTATAATCAGTATCGTTATAGTATCTAGTATGGACTATAATCAGTAAATAATACAACTGTCCCCTCTAGGACAATCTGATACGTATCCTGATAACTGAGCTACAATACGATACAATCTGATACAGTTCTTAACATTATTATATTACATTTTACATTAAAGTAAGACTATTCTATAAAAGTGACATTGTTTACCTTCAGATACATTTTTTTTATAAAATACCAGGAATCAAAGTATTTTTGTGTTTGTGGGACAAATGTCTGATTTCAGAGTTACAGTCATTGGGTTTGTAGCTTGACAGACAGACGTCTGTCTAACCCATACCGTCACATCTATTTCTTTACAGCACTAATAACAATACAGTTCTTTGATTCCTCGATATATATACTGAATGTAATGTAATATAACGCAATATATATAATATAATGTAATATAATATATATAATATAATGTAATATATATGTAATATAATGTAATATATATAATATATGTGTGTGTGACTCACATGTCGTCTCTGCAGTCTGGAGGTTTCTTCAGTCGTTCTCCTTTAATCAGATACTCGTAGATCTCAGAGTTCTCCACGCCGGGGTACGGAGTTTGACCACGAGTCATTATCTCCCACATCGTCACGCCAAATGCCCACTGACACACAGAGTATATAGTCATTAAATCAATAATCTATAATCATTAAACTGTATAAACTCTAGAGCTATGTTCTATATGGAGCTGATTAAATCAATAATC